AGGGGGGGGGGTAGTCATAGTCGTGCATGCCGTAGTCGTTAGACCATAATCTACAAAGCTGGGACGGAGCACGCCGGGTTCTCATCGGACCAGGGGGGGGGGGGGGGGTACTCATAGTCGTGCATGCCGTAGTCGTTAGACCATTGACCTCGCATCCCTACAAAGCCGGGACGGAGCACGCCGGGTTATCACCGGACCAGGCTCTCACATCACCAAGCGCGGAGCACCGTGAGGTATTCGGCGAGTCGCATGAAGAGTGCGCTGCATCCTGCTAAAGGTTGTATGTGAGGGGGGGGTAAAACTCACTCACAAGCGCAACCTGGTCGGCACACGCTCGCACGCGTGCAAAAGCACAAATTAACACACGCATGCATGGCGCCTCTGCAGAATAATGTTCTTCTTGCGGCCGTACTGGGACTGAAGTCACTTCACTGGTCAGTCGGTTAGCGCGCGGTCGATCCCAACAATAAGAACACATACAACTCACAAGAACAGACTTGAATCGTACACACATTTCACTCTCAGGCACAGCTCACAGGCACAGCTCGTGCGCCGCACACACCCTCAAAGGGGTTCCAGACCACGACCTTCAGAAGCATCTTCCGTTTTCAGCCGCCCTGAGATGGACGCCTTTTCATTGGCCAGCCAGTTCGCGCGGTCGATCCCCCACAACCTCAACCTCGCTCGAAGGCACCAAACCTAGTCCAACAAAATTCGCGCACACCAGTTCACTACTCACAAGCACGAAGCCTAGTTCTAGGAAGACTCGGTCACATTCACACGCACACAAACCCACCTCACAAGCACAAACTTCGTCACGCAAACATTCGCCCACGCTCAACACGCATACACGGAACAATCACCACCGAAGCAAACCACTTACTCCTGCACACATTCACTCACACTCACCCGCTTCAAGCACGAACGCACAAACACGAAAAACTTACTGAGCCTGCGCCGTGTTGTCGCTGATGAGGGCGAAGAGCTCGCCCTGTCCGGACACCCAGAAGACGACCGCCACCACCACGGCGCAAAGGAAGGTCGCCGGGAGCGTGTCGACCATGTAGGCCGTGGCCGTGACCTCCACGCTGAAGAGGGTGCCGCCGAACACCGAACCGAACGTCGCGGCCACCCTGCACCAAAAAAAAAGAAAAAAAGAACAAGAATACGCAAGAACACATATAGGGCCAAGAATACCAAACGGGAAACGGGGGGGAATTGCAAAACAACACAGGGTGGCGGTTGATAAAAAAAAAAGAAGTCTGTGAATTGTGCCCTTATGCAACAACAAGAAAGAGATACGCAAGTCTAACATCAATGGTCTGATACAGAAATACAAATACATGAGCGAAGGTTTATCAATATGCTCTGATATGTTGCAAAAAAAACGCAGGAGTGAAAATCAATTAACAACGGCGATCTGATACAAAACAACGAGGGCAAACCTACCCAATGGACCGCCTCGGGATGGAGAATAGTTAAAACTCTAGATGGCACACGCACAGTAGCGAAACGCGAAAACTGGGCACGGTGAATGAAATCAACCAAGAGACGTACCCCGCAGCGCACGCGCAGGCCAGGATTCCCAGCCTCTGCTTGTTGTTCAGCCGCACCTACACGTTCAAAATGTGTTACATGGGGGGCGGTGGCGGCGGGTACTCATGTAAGCGCATGCCGTAGTCGTTAGACCATTGACCTCACATCCGTACATACAACGCCGGGACGGAGGTGCGATATGCTGGGTTTTCGCCGGCCCAGGCTACTGCACCTCTCACAAGGATGACCACAAGGTGGTCATCATCTTTGGGGGGGGGGTTGACAGCAGCAACGGATGGATGCCTAACGTGGATATCTAGAGTGGCACTAGAGGCGACAGCAAAGAGCAAATACGCGCAGCTGCTGAGAGAAGGATCGAAGCGAGAGGAGCGAAGAGAACGAAGAGGTGAAATTGTAGCACCGCCACAGCAGATGATTGAAGCTACACGCCGAGAGTGGACGTGTAAAGAGGCATATGATTAATGCGCCGCAGGTGTTCCGTGTAATCGAGGGGATGAAACCGAACTAAATGTAACGTTACACAGCCAACAAAAAGAGGTAAGAGCTTGTCCAGAATGAACAGAGTCCTGAAGAGACAACGACATCTTTGTCCACCACCTTGAAAGCACGTGTTTGAGCCTTACAACAAAATTTGTTTCCCCAAAGCAAGGTAATGCGTTGTGTACCTTGCACCGTGCACCGACGCCTTCTTGAACGTAACAGCTACAAGAAGCCGTCGCAGCTTGCCCAGAAAACAAACACCCTCTGCAAGGCCGCAACAAAAAAAAAAAACTTGTCCGAAACAACATATTATCATTACGCTTGCACCTTGTACGCACCTTCTTGAACCACGGCGTGGACATGAGGATGTCGGCCATGGCGCACGTGATGTGGATGAGAGGCCCTTCCTTACCGACGGAGAGACCCGCAGCGTTAGCGGTGATCACCCTTGAACAAAAAAAAAGAAAGGAAGAGCGGGGGTGTTCCGGGGAAAGAGGAATAGCTGTTGCTGCTGCTGCTGCTGCTGCTTTTGCTGCGGTGGTTGCTGCTGGTCGTAGTTGTCGTCGTTGTTGTTGCTATTGTTGTTGTTGCTTTCGTTTTTGCTGTTGTTGCTGTTGCGGTTGTTGTTGATGCTGCTGTGTTCTTGTCACTGCGGTTGTGAGCGATTTATCTGGAGCTGCGCTACAGTCGTGGCAAGAAGAAAAAAAAAACACGTACACCGTGGTGTTACAAGGGAAAGGGGGGTTAGGTGTCGCTACCGCCGTTGTCGTTGTGGCCGATGCAGACGCGGTTGAGCCTGCAAAGCTGCGATAACGTTGTGGCTGGGCCACCATCCACCTACCTCCCACCTCATCGATTTCATCGCCCTGGCCCCCGGTTCGGAATGAACAACAACAGGCAACAATTTCCAAAGTGGCCTCACCCTAGCCGATCCCAGAAGCAACAGTCGTACCCCAAAACCTGGCACGCCATCTATCATAGTTACCCCGCGCGCGTGATTTCTTGTCTGGGTGTATGACGTCATTTTTGATTTCTTGTCAGAATGTTTCATGAAAGTTGGACCGACAGCTCTTGCGCAATTTTTCTTGGTGGAATATGGGGCCCATAGTTGTTTCCCATTTGGGGTTTTTTTTTCATGTTTTTCAGAAAAAGCCCCCCCCCCCCCCCGGGGACTTAGTTGCCATCTCTCACTGTATTCTACTGCACGGTGTGGGGGGAGCGGCTGTCTCAGTCTGATGTACGTACGTGACGACCAACGGGGAGGGCCGGGCTGTGGTTTA